TCATTTTACTGAAAAGCACCTCAGCCTGCGCAGTGAACCAGGGGCTGTTTCTCATTCTGTCTCCACTAAATTTCCTGTTTGCCCGGATTTTGGGTTATTCACTCGGCAGCTAACGGAGGCAATTAGGCTGCTGAGAACTCCTTGCAGCTGAGGTCTGCCAGGCTGGCAATCAGGGCCGTCTGTCAGCCACAAAGGCTTTCCCCTTTACTGGCAATGACATAATTTGTGCATTTTTCAAAGACAATTCCTCACAGTTCAGATTTCCCATCTTCTGAATTTAGCTTCTTGTCTTTTTTTAAAACGTGTGCACCTCAAATTACAACTCCAAAGCAATCTTGAGCATTGCCTTTCCTTGTGTGTTTGTGTGGGAAATTGTCTCGCAGGACAGAGAGAGAGTGGGAGAGAATCTGCAAGTTCTTCCTTATAGTGGAATGGAAAACCTTACCCTTCTTTACAGACTTTGTGTTTGGTCCTCTTCAAGATACTGGGTTAACTCCAGCCAAGATGTGCTCATCGTGTACATTGTGCCAAGTGTTTCTCATCTCCAGCACAGTGAAGTTTGTATTCTGGGAGGGGGGAATTTTTTTCTTATCCTTCAGCAGACAACTTGTAGCTGCTGGGATGGCCCTGCAGATCCCTTCCCTGAGGACAGACGTGTTGTCCCCTCCTCTGCACGCACTGTACTTGACTTCTGCTTCCCTCTAGCAGAGGATCTGGCCTCTGCTTCCTGGCCTCTGTTTGTTGTTTGTTTGCATTGGGTTAGTTTTTTGTTTTTTTTTTTTGGCAACTTTATTGCAGTACTTTCCTTGTCTTGTTGAAAGTTAATAGCAATGTTTGGTTTTGACCTCTTTGAGGATACAGCTTTGAATACAACTTGCTGTCTTATCAGTGCGTCTCTGAAGCTGTATGTGGTCCTTCTCTTCCTACAGAATCACAGCATGGGTGGGTCAGAAGGGACCCCAAAACCTGCCAGAGCCCCCTGCCATGGGCTGGCTGCCTCCCAGCTGAGGCTGCTCAGGGCCCATCCATGGCCTGGGACACTTCCAGGGATGGGGCACCCACAGCTCTGGGCAGCGGTGCCAGGACCTTATTACCTACAGATGTCTCATAAAGTGTTATCATATCATGTTGTCATATCAAGTTTAGAGTTAGATGAGTTTTTCCACGCTGGACACATTTTGCAGGTGGGAAAGGTGGGGAATTGGTGCGTATCTGTAGAAGTAAACTTTAGAAATGAACGTGTGAATGTGAATATATTTCTTTAATAATCCAGCAAGTCTTTCATCTTTTTTTTTTTTTTTTTTAATTGAATACAGACTATGTAAATACTTTGAGAACGATCAAAACTATTACCGCATCACTGATCTCCTCCATTGACCCATCTGTGAGATGTTTAATCTCTTCTTTTTTGAAAAGTGTGTGTTTCTCAATTTCAAAAGCAGCCATCCACCGCCCAGTGTGTCTCAGGAAGCAGCTCCTGCTGGCTCCTTGTCACTGTGCCACTGTTCTTTCAGGGATGGCTGAACACTCTGGGCTTTTCCTGTCGCTGTGTTGGGGAGCAACCTGTCCCACACCCTGTTATACAGCCACCTGAGCCAATGAAAGGCCAACCCACCAAGAGCTTCATTGCCACCACGAGAACCATCCCAAAGGACCTGCAGCCATCTCCTGGATGCCCCACGTGCTTTCTGTACCTGCTTGCTCCTTGCATACACCAGCAGACATGCAGTGCTATCACTTTGCCATCCTATAATGAGGTTTTCAGTAATCATTCTGATTTCAAGAGTGCATTTTGCTTCTGAAGTGAGAAGTGATCGGTGCTTTTGGGATCTGCATAGGGACAGTAGATGTGGACTTTTAAAGTGACCCGTTCAGCTGAGTGCCTGAGAAACAAAGTGACTCGATTCGCTGCTTATATTTAGTATCATTACCTACTGCATTAGGTTCTGTTTTCTTCTGTTTCTGTTCAGGAAGGTTAACAGGGAAAACGCCCAGCAGAAAGCATTTGTGTGCTTATCAGAAGGCAAACGTGTGGAAAACATTGGGTCAGCATACTGGATGTCAGCTTTTTTTAAAGAGCACATGGAAGGAGGAGTATTCAGGGCTGGAGAGAGGATGTCCTTCCTTTTGGTGAAGCTGGGAGCGTTGGAGGTGCTCATGGATCCTCAGCTTAAACATGACCTGAAATCACAACGCCCTCCTAGTTGCTTAGTTCAGAGCTGTGTATCATAGATATGAGATCCTAAACTTAGCATTTGTAAAAAGGGGGTAGATGCCAGGAGATCCATGAACCTGGGCAGGCTGAGATTGTGAGGGAGCACGGCTCCTTCCATTTCTGGAGCTAGTGAGGAGCTGTGATCAGCTCTCATCACCGAAGTGGAGAACATGCAAATGAATTTGGTGTGAGCCAGGTGAAGTCCCTGACACTGGAGGAGCACAGAAGAAGCTGAAAACAGTTTTGCTGACCTCAATCCTGTGTGCTGCTCTTTGTTCTCCCCATCTCAGCACATTATGGTGTTAGCTGATCCCAAAAACTTCTCCAAGGGGTCAAGCAGCCAGACAGTTCCTTTTATGTGACCTCAGCCGAATATCCTATCCAAGACCATTTCTCTTTTCTTTATGGTGTGTCAGAAGCAGAAGAGCAGCTGTTGTATTTTTCCCTGTATGAAGACAAGAAGGAATTTGACTTCTCAGAGCACAGCTGCTAGAAGCAGCACTTTGCTTCCCCCTGCTCCCAGGCTGTCTCGTCCTGGAGCTTGTTATGGCTACTGCACCTTCAGAACCAGGCTGAGGAGCGCGGGCTGCCTGGGTACCCACAGTGATCGCTCTGTAGGATGTTGCCAGTCTTCATAGAATCTTGTGGTGTCTCCTGAGATTTCCTCTGATAGCAGCATCACTCTGCCGAGGAATCCCTGCTAATATTTGTGTGGTAGTTGTTTCAGCACTTGGCAGGGGTGAGGGCGTTAATGTGAAACCTCCTTTGGCTGGCGCGTCTGCAAGGATGATTTGTGCGTAGTGCTGTCCCAGCATTATCATTATATCTGAACAATGAAATTCTGGATGTCTTTTTGTAGATGTGCACATAAACACTTGTATTAAGGCAGTGAGTTGTATTTGGACTTGTATTTGTATTTGGACTCTGCAAACCTCTCATTTTCTTCTGTACAGATCTCTTTTCCAAACGAGAACAGGCTGTTGTATGGATTTCTTAATGCCAAGTGCTGCTTATCTGCACAGCATTATTGCTGTACACAAGGTGAGCAGCTGGATGTCCTCAAGGACTGCCCAAGAGATCAAAGAAGGTCCTAGAGGGTCCTGGGGTATGCACAGGGCTGTGGAACCAGGCACCCAGGCACTTCCCTCTTGCAAGGTAGGGATCTGCACTGTTGTGGTAGGAGCTCCAAGCCCAAACGTGGCCTCTCATTTCATCGTTGGAGATGTTTTTGAATCCAAATGTTGGAGGTGGAGGTTGACCACAGGACCCACATAAATGACACACAGGAAAGAGCCTTTTTTGACCCTGCTTCTTCAATCCTGCATTCTGTGCCTTTGGGAATAGCAGAATTCAGTCTTACTTTACGTGCATGGCATGATTTGAGAATTGAGTTTGCCATGAAAGACAGAATGGGAAGAGGTGGTCTGTAGGACCTTTCAGTAGGCAGCCTTGCAGGACAATAAGAGAGACATGTGTTGAATAGTCACAGATATTCAGTGTTCCAGCTTTAGCAGAAGAAAACTTTTTATTGCAGTGTTCTCAAATAGGGAAATAAAAATAGCACAAAGCTCTCTGAAAAGACGTGAGGTGGCAGCTCTTTCAGAAAGGCTGGTTTTTTTAAATCATTTTTGAGCAAAGAACTGCCAAGCCATCGGCTTTCTTTTTGCTCAGCCTCTTGCTGGCCATTGTACCGTTTCGTCTGAGAAATCAGATCGCTGTCAGGCATTATTTCATTAGTGTTACCCACGAAGATAGTTGCTGGAGAGCTGGTGCAGTGGTTTTGCTCTTCTGTGCAGAAGAAGTGGGTGCTGTGTGGTGTGGTGTGTGCCAAGAGGTGGGAGCTGCTGCAGGTTAAACATCATTGCAAGCCATCTGAAGGCTGAAGGAGCCTGGAGCTGTGTGGGTGAGCGGATCATCTCTCCAAGCACAAGCGGGCTTCTTTTAAACATCAGAGAGGAGGGCATTGCCTTCTGCCTCATCCCTGCATGCTCCTGCTGCCATCTGCCATCGCTGCTAGAAGCTGGTGGCTGCCGATGGCTGGTTTGGGGTCAGGACTGGAGTTCCAGCCACCAGCTCTTATGTGGATCCAGGCTCAGTATCCCTGCCCCGTGCATGAGTTGGAGACAGTGGTGCTTTCCTGTGGGCTCGTTTTGGCATCTGCCTTTCTCTCTTTGCCTTCAGGACTGATGTGAAGGCTCTCCTACTGCTGCTCCGCTTACAAGGTGCTTTGTGCTGGAAATGAGGAGGCTCTCCAGAGGAGGAAGCAGTGTCTCCTGTTTGCCTTGAGTTATCCTATCATGACAATGGCTTCAGAATTTGCCTAATGTAAAAGCAAGGCTTAATCTGACGGGAAGATGTTTGTGTATTTAAAATAGTTACTTCTAGCCGGGACCACTCCCTGCTTTTGTCCTTCCCTGCCGGACTTTTCAGCTTCGCTTGGCTAACATGAACTGCTTGTTTACACCAGAGATACTGGAGCATGAAGAAGGAAGTCGGTACATTTAGCACTGATTCAGTTCCAAGCTTCCTGTGCGTGTGCACACACGTGTGTGTGTGTGTGTGTGCAGGGAGTTTGCAGCCTCCTCCATCCAGAGCCCGTGCAGCCTCCGCAGAAGCAGCAGCAGGACTGGCGCGGGCAGACGCAGGGGCTGGATGCTGGAGGGTTTTTAAAGCTCTTCCACCCAGTTTGATTCAGAGCAGGTTTAGACAACAACGGGTAAAAATTCTGGTATGGCAAGCCTGGTGAGGAAGATGCTAGTGCAGACAAAGCCATGGAGCGGTGAGTAGGAGAAACCTCTTGCTTGATGGAAAAGATAACTGAGCAGAAAGCATTCTTGTAGATGCCTACAAGCAGGCAGAGAGCTTTTGGGTTTTGTTGTTATATTCGTGTCCCATTTCCAGTGTGAGATGGCTACTTGGAAACGTCAAGAACTTTGTCCATTGGGAATGAGGTGATGAGAGGAGCGTGCCAGCCACTGGGCAGACTTCACTCTTAAGCCCATTCCTCAGCCTTCCCAGGATTTCTGCCTTGGCTTTTGGCTCTGTGACAGCAGCTGTCTGTGGATGTGGGATGGCTTTTTATTTGAGGGTTTTTATTTGTTGCTAACTGGGTTTCAGTAGGTTGTTCTGTTGCGTTGTTACAGAGATGGTGGTGTATTTGGGATTTTAAAATGTTCCAGCCTGTGCCTGGGGTTTTTCATTTATATTTACAGTGTTTGTTCAACTCTTATTTGTGCAAATTAGAATAATTGTAGGGCTTGATTATATGTGGAGCTGGTGAGTGTTTTTAAGAGGCTGGCTTAGGTGTTCATTGTTGGATGTGTGTCTTCTCTGGTGTAGGTGTTCTTTCTTTATGCAGTGCAAAGCAAACATCATAAACTGCCACAGCAGGGAATGATTTTTACCTCCGTGTATCCCAGGGAATCTGTCTGTAATAGAGTAGAAATCTACCCGATGGGATGGAGTGTGGGAGCCAGAATAGCCCCCCAGCAGGGAGCCTGCCCTGTGCAGATGGTAGGAGGTCCCAAGCTGAGCCTGGTGCCATCAGGCTCCAGGTGCATGCAGGTGCCCATGTTCTCAATGTGTGAGCCCCAGCGAACGGTTGTTCTTGGAAAATTGGGCTTCTGTGTGAATTACTCACTGCTGTTATTCTCTCCCCAAGCAGCAGTTTGTTTGGTGTTTATGGAGGGGATGGTGTAGACACAGATGTGAGCAGCATCTCTTGAATAGAAGCGATGGGCTGGATGTGCCAAGCACTGCTTTGGATTTTGCTGAGAAGGAAATTTTGTTGGAAGCTGGGATTCCCTTCTAGCCCAAATCTACTTGTCTCTTTTCATTTACTCACGGCTTCTTAGAAACCATGAATTTTCTGCCTCTAGGAAAAGCAGAGATGTCATCTGAAGCTGAGTAATCTCCTTTGATTACATTTTGACAGACATGGCACCGAATACGGAGAGCTGAAGCGGAGATCTCTTTGATCTCACGATAAATAACCTGGGACTCGGAGTAAATTAACCAACCTTTGCAAAAAGAACCAGAATTAAAATAAATACAGATTTCTTTCCTTGTTTCAGAGAGGAGGAGGCTGCAGTGATGGCAGTTGAAATCTCACTTGGCAAAAAGGCTGTTGAGAATTAATTTAGAGAGCCTTTTCTGTAGAGGAGTCCAGCGGCTATTAAACGAGTAGAGCAAACATTTACCTTGCATGGATTTCTTCAGAGCAGTTGTAGCCCATCAGTGTTTAAAAGTGCTATTCTCTGATGACAGAAATGTGGCAATAGGGAAACATGTAATAAACATCAGCTGGGTAACTTTCTGAATCTTTTCAGAGTCCCTGGAGAGGTTCTTTAGGCTTAAATCTCATTATTTACACTGCGGGAATGTGTGTTAAATGCATTTTTGAAAATAGGCCCAGGATGTTAGGAAGCTGGGGATGCTGGAATTGATATGAAGTGCAGCTGCTTGGAGGCTGGTTCTAGGGGATGTACCTGTGGGACAGCCATTTGGATAGGGCACGTGCATCCAGGCACCCTGTGTGAAGGTGTGTGCTTGGGGCAGTCTGGTTCCTGTATCTGGGGCTACAGGGATAGCTATGGCCTCTGATTATTTCAGCTGCAGCTGTATTCCATTTGCTTCAACTTCTTTTACTGACCCATCTGTGTGAATGTTTGAGGTTGGTTGTGGAAAAGAGCTGGTGGGCTCTTTGTGTGGTGCTGGTGGAACTGAACATCGTAAGGTTTGGATCTTTATTTAACAGAGAGGTTATAAAGAGTGAAGGTCAAAGAAGACAAATGGCATTTTGCCAGCTTAGCAAATGCTGCTGTGTTTCTCCCCCCTCTCCTGAGATCCCTGTTGCTTTTAAAGTGCTGTTTAATTTGGCTATCTGCTAGTCTACCGCTGCAGGAGAAAATGCAAATGACTGATTGGATTTGAGGTGAAACGAAAACAGCCTGAGCTAAAGAGGCATCTAAGTAAACTGAAATTGGCTCTTTGACATCGTTGTTTGCATTGTGAAATATAAAAAGACAAATGGTATGGAACACCCAAAGCATTAAACAACAGCCAACTAACAAAGGCTTGTAGAGAAGCCCTTAGCTTAGCAGTATCCTTTGTTTTCTAACTATGAGCTATATTTCTTTTTAATTAATGCATGAAATGACACCTGTGAGTTCAGCTGCATCACTACAAAGGGTGCTGCCTTATCCTCTGCAGGCTATGTGAGGTGACGTTGGATGCGAGAAGGCGTTCAAGGAGAGTTTAAGTTGTCACATCAAAGCTCTCAAATAGCAAAAAGCAACAGCTTTAATGGCTGCACCATCAGAACGTGACTCCCTGTGGCAGGTGGATAATGACAGTCTCACAGAAATCTCTGCTACTTCACAGGAATTTCCAGGTACAAGGAACGTCTTTTATCTGAGAATGCCAATAGATAATACATGGGGGCCTTACAGTAAGTGGCCATACATGAAATAGTACAGATTTTAAAGGCAGTGTGCACAAAGTTACCATATCAGCCCCGTGACCAGGTGAGCTTCAGCCTTCACTTCATCACCTGAGTGCAGTGACATTTATGCTGCTGCTCAGTTGAGCGTGCTGCTGAGCTTATTGACTAACAGCAGCATCCTGTGCAATGGGAATTCTGCAGTGTGGGTGTCAGGAGTATCCCAAGTCTGATTTGAGTGTATTAACACTGTGATTAACACAACTCTCCAGAAGGGAAAATGGTCATTAGGAAACCTTTTTAATTTCTAATTTCGCTTGTTTCTGAAGATGCCTTCTGTGGCAAGTACAGCTCTGTTCTTTGTGCTATCTGTCTTTGTGTCTATCTGCTCCTTGCTACAAATAACCGCAGGGCTGTGGCAAAGCAGGTATTTCTTTGTTCAGCTTTCTTAATCTCTCAGTGCTCTCGTCTTAAGGTTTGAAGGATGTTTCTAACACCAAGTGTGTTGTGCGGCTCTTTTCCTTTCCCCATAGCAGCTCTCCACTGCTACCACTATGTAAATGAACACCAACTATTGCCAATGGTGCAAAGGCTCTGAGCGTTCAGGTTCCCGTGTCAAGGTTTTTGGTTGTTATCATGATTAAATTTGCAATCCTGAGGGTTGTTATCAGATAACAGCGAGGCAGAGAATTCATTTTCAAAATGAGGTTTCCAATCTTAGTAGGGCCTGAGAGGAGAGAGCAAAAGGGGTGGTAGCTGAGGTAGAAGGAAGAGGAAATTTAAACTTTGAGTTAATACTGAAAGTTGCTTTGGGGCGGAAAGTTATAATTAGGCAAGTCAAAAATACAAACATACGTCAGTGATTAATTTCCTGCTTGTGTCTCTTGTCTTTAAAGCATAAAAGTGCCAATCTGAATCTTTTGACATTGCCAGTTAATTTCTGGGACAGTCGTGGGCAGTGGCAAGGCTCTTCCCCGAGCTGAATTCAGTTTTTTCCTGAGCAAGGGCTCAGAAATAACCACTTGTATGAAATTGCAGCTTTCTAGCTGTCAGATTTCATGAGCTCTACAGAAATGGTCCAATTGGCACAGCCAGGTAATGGTGGTAATGGTAAAGCTGCGGCTGGATGTCCTTGCTGCTCTGTACTGTGCTCAGAATCCCTGCAGTTAGGGGCAGACATAATAAGTACCTCTGCTTATTCCTCCCCTGCTCTTCCCCTTTGTACTGTGTGCCATGTTTCACGGCTCCACAGTTCTGAGCTTTAAATACAAGTTTATGCCCTCATTTTCTTTTGTGAGAAATGGCGTTGCGTGCTGCTAATCTCTTTTGTGTTGCCTCACTTGTTTTTATTCTGCTTAATTTTCCCAGTAGTACAGTTTGTGGCAATTGGCTTCAGATATTTTAGTAGGAATCCTATTGTATCACATTTAATAATAGAAAAGGATGTGAGAGCAGGGTGGTTTTTTCCTTGGCAGAATTACCCTGAAGTTGCCACCTTCTGGTTCATTCAGAAATTCCCTTAACCATGCAAAATGTAGAGACATTAGTGGTAAAGGAGCTGATGCTCTCCTTTTTATACTGCTTTCATTGCTAGCTTTAAAAGGTGTTAAAAAGAGAAGACGTGAATTGGTGTTAGACTGGCTTTGTGTTGTTTTTTTGTTTGTTTGTTTTTTCTTTGTGGTATGTATTGATTTACAGTTCATTTGATAGTCGGCAGCTGTGATCTTAAGGAGGACCTTTAGAAATGGGCTGAAATCAAAGATATGTATATGGATGAATGCTCCCGTTAGTTTCAGCAAAACATAATCTCTCAAATTCCCTATGGATTGGAATGGAATGGGTATGAGCTGTTCAGCCGTGAAAAATGCAGTGAATGCAACAGAAAAGACCCTTTGGTTTGATCCATCTATCGATTGTGTTTGATGGCTGTCAGGTGGGGAGAGCAGAGGGGAGAGGGGGAAAGTAACAGAAAAAAAATCAGTAGGTAGAGGGATAGAGGGCAGATGGGAAACTGGACTTTTCTTCCAGTAGATTTGATAATGGGATTCTGAGTAAGGAATTGATGTGCAATCTGTATCAATCTTGTTCTATTTCTGAAAACCCTTTTTAGGTTTGAAATTCCACTGTAGACTGATTTCATTAACAGAGTCACTTCAAGAGGAATGTGTGCTTTCTCACCGTCAGTTAGCCTTCCTAAATGATGGGTTTGTAAACCTGCGGTCACTGAACTGAAAGGTTTAAAAAGCTCGGAGCACCAAAATGCTCCCACCAAGGCAGCCTTGCAGCCAGAGCTTCTGCAGGGTGCAAAGGCCTGGTGTCAGAAAGGCATTTTGGATCTGAAAATCTGTATTTACTGCAGGGTTGTAAATATAGAGAGCATAATTGGCTGTTCTGAAGCACTTTGGAAGTGGAAATGCTGAGTCAGGCCTTGAAGCAGTAATTGAGCACCTGGTGGAAAGCAGGGCCAACCCAGGGGAACTCAGGTGTATGCAATGAACCTGAGTGACCAGAAGGGTTGGGGCCAGGATCCACCCCTTCCTAGCCCTCATTTAAGAGTGGGCAGTGGAGGTGAGGGTATCTTGTTGGAGATCTCTGCATACCTGAGGCTTTCTGAAGGTAAGTGGCTTTTTTTTTTTTTTTTTTCCTTTGTTTCTGTGCCTGTTGTATTTGAGCAAACCCTTACTTGCTACATCTTAGGGCTTTGCTACTCTGCTCTCTGCTGCACTTTTTATTCTGTTACAATTTTGGCATCAAGAACTTATTGTTGATATTTGATGTTAATGCTGCTTTTTAGGTAGTGGGGTGGAGCAAGGCTGTTAGAGCCTGAGTCCCAGTCTTTGGTAATGAGACCCTTGACTTCATCTGGTGGCCGTGTAGTGTCTGGTAGCTGAATACATTGCTCTTTGTGGAAGTTATGAATGTAACAAGCTGTGACCCAAGTCATCTTAGTAGTGAAATAAGTAGATGTTCTAAAGCTCCTTGTTGAGAAAGCATATTCTTGATACTGGAAACAAACCTGTTCTGAATACATCCTATGCATTTCTGGTGTGCATCAGTTGTAAGGGAGAAGCTGAGAAGAAGGTCCAACAGGTTTGATTAAAACATTAATATGCACATTTAAAGAAAAAAAAAATAAAACAAAATGGCCTGAGCCATGTTAAACTCATAAGGTGATTTGTCTAGGATAATCTTGAGGATTGTCTTATTTTTAATTGCAGGAAATTATGTTCCTTGAGGGGTTTATATTTTAAGAAGATAAGCTCTGATTTATCCCTCATATATATATATATATATATATATATATGTATATATATATTTTTTTCTCTGTCCCACAGTTCATTCCATAGTAATGGCCAGTTTTCTTCTGTTGGGCTTTTTCATTATTATTATTTTTAGACTAGTGACAAAATGAAAGGACCTGGTAGGCTTGATGGTTTTTTGGATGACAAGAACTTGCTTTTGTTTTGGTTTCAGTTGTCCTTATGTCTCTATATGTTTTTGTACAGAAAGGTGATTTTTGGACTGTGTTGGTTGTGCCAATCGCACGATGGTAAAACCATACAACTTCTCCCTGAGCTAGAAGCTGTGTCTTAGTCCAGTGAGGGTCTGGAATGTGATGGGGAGCAGCTGAGGGAATGCAATGGATGAGTGTGGAGAAGAGGGGCTCGGGGGGGGCCTCACTGCTCTACAGCTCCTAAAAGGAGGTTGCTGGGAGGTTTAGGTCGGCCTCTGCTCCCAGGTAACAGTGATAGGATGAGAGGGGTTGGCCTCAAGTTGTGCCAGGAAATGTTCAGGTTGGGTATGAGGAAAAGCTTCTCAGAGCGGTGATGCAGTGGCACAGGCTGCTTGGGGAGCAGTGGGGTCACCGTCCCTGGAGGTGTTCAGGAACTGGAGATGCAACACTGAAGGATGCGGTCAATGCACGTGGTAGGGATGGGTTGAGGTTGGCTTGTGGATCTTAGAGATCTTTTCTAGCCTTTATGATTTTGCTGTCTGTATTCTCCAGGAGTCACTTGTGGCCAGCAAGGTTGCAATTTACGATGCTCCCAAAAGCAGCTCGTGTTTGGTTTGGTGCTCACCCTTTGGTGCTCACCATGCTTTAGGCCATGGCGGTGGCTGCAGGGCCCTCTGTGGAGGTGCCTCACTCACCCTGAGGTCCCAACTGAGTTTTCCTCTGCTTAAAAATAAAAAGAATGAGTTAAACTGGGGTGGGAAGTTGCATGCTGTCCAGGCAGCACAGTCAAGCTTCTGCCAAGCTGATCTAGAACTTCATCTCTATTTGTGGCATTCCTGTGAGATCTGACGTTGGCATTATCCTGCTCCATCCCAGCGCGGAGGGGACAGGAAGCAAAGGCCTTGTATTTAATCTATCGTGGCAGTGGTGGGAATACCAAACTGGGAGGATTTCCTGGATGTTCTTGTTTTTTTGGAAAGGAGAAAACAAAACTTGACAACAAAAAGCCCTTGTTCTCCCAGCCTCTTCCCTTGCTGCTCCATGCCATGTCTGTGCTCATCACCCGCCCGGGCGGGACGTTTCCAGGCTGCTTTTTGAAGATATTTATAAATAAGTTGAGCTCCATCTGTTTTTTTGTGGTTTGTTTTCTTGTTTTCCCTCAAATGATTTCTTCACCGTAAGTCATTGTAGTTGTGCATAATTGATCCACTTGTGGCAACTTGCAGCTAGCAAGGGAAGTCACAGGTGGTTTAGGCTTGTGCTGCATCAGGAATGGAGAAAAGGGGATAGAAGAATGGTCTGACAATAACCTGAGCAATGATTGCTTTGGAGAGAAACTTGTAAAAATTGTATCATAGGATGGCCTGGGTTGAAAAGGACCAAAGTGATCATCTAGTTCAACCCCCTGCTCTGTGTAGGGTCACCAACCAACAGACCAGGCTGCCCAGAGCCACATCCAGCCTGGCCTTGAATGCCTGCAGGGATGGGGCATCCACAGCCTCCTTGAGCAACTTGTTCATGTATCATAATAACATAATTTAGTTTTAACTTGTCCTGAAACAGTAAGAATAAACGTGCTATGTATCTTTCATGAACTGTAATAGAGTATGAAATAGCAGGCAGAGATTTCTCTCTAGCCTTGTTCTGCCCAGCAAAGTCAAGCTTTATTTTTATAAATATCAAGGTCAAGAAGGGGGCAGGTACTTTTTCATATTTTTAGTAAGGAAGAGAAGTACTTCAGTACTGCTCCTTTCCCATATGTTATGGTTATGAACTGCGTACTTCAGTAGGCTTCAAAAAAAGTCAAAGTTTAAGGCTCCATGTCTTCAATTTTTAGGTTTTGCTTCCCAACATGAATGGGATCGGTTCTTGTTGACATTCCTACATGCTTTGGGGAAAGAAGGTGAAATAGGAATACGTGGCTGGATGTGTGCTACAGCCAGGGGCATCTGTGATGGAAAGCTGTCTGTTGCCCATGGCATGGGGAGGGAGTGTGCTCTGACCACAAGATTAGGTTAATGCTGCAGCATGGGCTTAAAAACCTGGAAAAGATAATGCTGCATTAATTTACACAGCTTAATTTCTGCAGCACAATGGCAGAACACAACTAGTAATACTCCAAAAATATAACCCTGACTCAAAGAACTTTCTCCTTTTCCCCTCATTCCCCCTCCTTCCCTCATTTCCTGCTTGGACACCCAAAGTCTGAAACTCAGAAGGGTTTTTGAATGGGATTTTTTTTTTTTTTCCCATGCCTTCATTTTAAAAAAAAAAAAAAAAAAAAAAAATCCACCCTGTTTCTGAGGCTGTGACTCAGTGCTGCGGTGCCTATCTGCCTTGTGTCAGGACTTGGGCTGTCTGTGGGAAGCAGAACACATGCATACCCGAGGCGTGATGCAAGTTTTGAAGTTGCCCCAAGTGCACTGGGAGCATCGCATGTGCAGATCACACTGTGGCTGGCAGCCACAGCCCCCCTGCCTTGCAGGGCCTCCTGCAGCTGCACAGGCATTTGAGTAACGAGGTAAACAGTAAATAGGGGAAGGCTGTCACATTCTAAAATGCCACTGTTGTTGGTTTGAGGGTTCTCTTGTCTTAAAAGCCTATATTTAGATTTGACAATGAGATTTATCGCAATAATCGGGGCATTGTTTAAACAAGGTCACTGATGCGTGTGTGTTTATCTCTGCTGAACCAGATTGCTTATTTGAAGTAGAAATACCTCCAAAAATATTATGCAGAGCTATTGAAAGCTTGCGTACTCCACTCCTGCAGCATGTGGTCTTTATTAGAAAATAGCTGCAATTATTCACGTTCAGTTTTGCAGATTTAAGTCCTGAGAGATTTAAACATAAAACAGCGGAGATTTGATTACATCCTGGTTTTATGTCTGACTGCTATACGAGTGTTTTGTATGTGTAAATCTTTTTATGAAGCACAGGCTGTGATTTGTTACTAAGTGGAGACACATGAATGCCATGCAGTCAGCTGCAATTGGGATGCACGTGCTCATTAGCTTGGTCTAGCTTCAGTGGTTGCTCATGCAGTTATAAAAACCAGCAAAGCTTTGTGTGTTTTATTTACAGCAAATATTTGCTTTTTGAGTGGATGGTTTGAAGCTTCAGGATACAATTTCAGTGTCAGATATGATTGCAGGCAAGGATTCTGATCCACTTGGTAAGGATGGAGCACAGTTTACTGACAATACTGCGTGGTCACTGCAAGCACAGTAGGTAATGACTTGTTTTTAATGACAAAGTGATTAAATACAAGCCCTGAAATATACTCACGTTGTTGTTTGTTTATTTGCACAAGAGTGCGTGGGAGAAGAATGTATTGGTTGAAACTCTCCCATGAACTTGGTTGCTGCTGTGTGCTGGTAGGTGATTTCACTGGCCTGGCAGTAATGTGGGCTGCCAACAATTAATGGCTTCCTTTTGAAACCTCCTTTGCTTGGTGTGATGGCTACAATAGTAGCAGCCTGAAGTGGCGAATATACCCTCAGATAGTTATGTAAGCAAAAAATGTTTCAGAAATATCATCTGGAGAAGCTATGTGAGAGCATAAGGTATAATTTCTCCTATTCTTTCAGTTAAAATTTCCATTTATGTGATGGAAATAATTGAGAATATTGTCAGAGGTTGCTGAGCTCTGCGGAAAGGGCTGGCCTGCAAAAGGGGCAGTTTTCTCATGCATAAGCTGGTGTTCGCACCTAATGAAACAAAACCTACGTCCTTCTGGAACCTAGAAGAGAAGTCATCTCTGGGCAGAAAGCTGCCTCAGAAAGGTGGTTTTAATGGTGGCAGACCTTGCTGGGAATGTGATGGCATGTGTGTTGTGTGATTCTTTCTCACAATATCCAGTTCTTTTCTTTAGTCTCTTACGTGTGTGCATCTGTCACAAATTCGTTCCATAACAAGGTTCTAAGAGACATTTCCTTCCATCCTTCCATCTACTCTTTGTTCTGTCCTTCCATCCTTCGTTCTTCTCTCTTCAAAGCCTGATATTATCCCACATCTACTCTTTTTTAGGAGTGCCTCTTTCATACTCTGCCATCAAACACAATTTCTACAAGGTGCTTCACACTGCTGCTAGTACCAAGGTCCCAGCGCTGATACATACTCATGTCCACGCTTTCATAGGAGAGCCTGGATTGGAAGGAACC